ATCAATGATTTAATAGCCCATAAACACCATGGGTGAAGTGAGACTTCTTGGCTTCATATTAGGCTTCTCAGGGTTTAGGTCTCCATGGTAACAGCTAAGAGCCTCCCTCAGAGACTGTCATGGCTTAAAACAAAAAACTATGAGGAGTGTGTGTGTGTGTGTGTGTGTGTGTGTGTGTGTGTGTGTGTGTAGGAAGTGAGATAAATAGTGTAGGGTAGTGTGCCTCAATTTTTTTTGTCTTCATGATTATGCATGACTCATTGTCACTCCTCTCTGACCCTCCTCAATGTTGTAGTTTTAGTCTGATGTTAGAGCGATTATTATCAGAGAGGACTGGAAACCAATCACAGCGATGTAGTGAATGTGGCCTCTCGCTCTTCTTTGTGCCTCGTTCTCATCCTCCCATTTGTCATGCTGCTAAAATGTTATTGCTCAACATGTCTCTTAAGCATGGTAATGAAACTGTGCAACCACTTACTCACAACTAAATGAAATTCATTGGTTTGATATGGATATGAAGTTTGAATTGCACATGATGCGCTCTGTGTATATAAAGAGAAGTGTGAATGGACACTGCCATGGATGCTTGCGTGCGGCTTCATCAAAATTCTGTTCGTGAAGGCAATCATCGGCTCTGACTCCCGACCATCATCAGTCACCATCACGCTACCTGCTCTGTCTCTGAGGCCCCACAGCAACCACCAGTCTTCATCACACGCATTCTCACACACGCTGATTAGATCATGAATCCAGATTTTGTTGCCTCTAAAATCCCCTCCCAGGGGTCCAGTGGTGAGAAAGAATGAGAAGAGTTCACAAAGCAAGCTGTGCAGGTCTGTTACTTTAAGCTACTGTGAATGAATTGAGTTGTGTTTTTTCTAATTATTTGAAATTTTAGGAGCTGGAGTTATTTGCCTTTTTCCAAGAATTTCAAGTTAATAAAATCATCGTTAAAAGCAAAGCATAAAGTGTCAAACTACTATCTCGCTACACTCTTTTTAATATCACACAGAAGAACTGGTCACACCATGTCAGGGTTACTATAAATTTCTTTGATCTACAAAACAATTTCCCCAAGGAGTTCCAGTTTGAATAGTCTTGAGTTCAATTTGACTCATTTTATTTATATAGCACCAACAGCAGTCATCTCAACGTGTTTCATATTGTAAGGAAAAAACAAACCTTTCAATATTAGACAGAAAAGTCCAATAAACACCACCTCCAGACAGACAAATTCTCTTTTAATGGGAAGAGACCCCCTGCCATGGCCGGGGAGGGATCAGGGAGGGGCGACCATCTGCTGTGACTGCAGGGCTGAGGAGAAAGAGTAGAGAAAAGAAACTATAGAAGAGACACGTTAATGACCGGCATTAGTGGCATGTAAACACATCAGGAGTGAAAAGGGGCGAGTGGAGAAGAGCTCATTGCGTCATGGCAAGTCTGTCATTCCCTGCCTTTACCAGCACTGCTAAGGGATGCTGCAGGGTGACGTGATCCATCCTTAACTATAAGCTATGAGTCAAAAAGGAATTTTTTGAGCCTAATCTGGTTGCACAGGAGAGGGGCCTGATAGCTGCCTTCCATTACTTTTGCAAACTGTGGGAACCACAAGTCACAATCTAGCAGTCTGAGAGTTCTCTGCTGGGGTGATACGTTGTGATGGGGCCTGATTATTCAGGACCTTGTATCTGTGCAGAAGGCTTTTAAATTCAGTTCTGAGTTTAACAGGAAAGAGAAACAGTCTCTCTTTCTAGTCGCTATTAGTAGTTTTTCTGTTATGTTTTAGATTTAATAAAGTCTGTTCAGGTTCAGCTTTTAGAAAAACCTGATAAGAGGGAATTACTAAAGTAGAACCTTGAAGTATTAAATGCATTAACAAGTTTTTCAGCATCACTCTTCAGCGTTTCTACTTTTAGCCGTGCTGCACATTTTACTGCGACAGACTGAGGTCACTATGTGTTGTAACTCATCAGCACGCCCTAACGCTTATTGATAGGTTAAGTAATGCTTTGATGCTTTTTCTTATTATAAAATACTTTAAAATTCTTTAATTTACTTAAGTGCATTTCTTCTTGGAGTGACGTTATACTAGCAGAAAATATAAGACTATTAATGATGGGCTTAGACATTTATAGATATTTCCATTAATGACCAGCTGAATAAATGTACCTAATTAAGTAGTTGGTGAGTGCATATAGCAGCTAATTATTACAGTATGTAGCAGACTAATAAAAAGACAGAAATTCTCTCTAAACTAAACCAATTTGAAGCACATAGTTCTTGGATGGGCTGTACCTCATAGAGGGTCATAATATTTGTCACATAATTCCATTAAAAATACTCCAGAAGGCACCAGCAGCACACACACTGTCATGGGGTCCAGCTCAGTGCCACAAATTAGTGGAGGCGAAGTCTTGCCGACAGCTATTGCTGATAACGTTCTGTCAAAGCAATCATAACTCTATCCCTGAACAAAATAAAAGGGAAGAAATAAATCCCCTGGAGAGATGTTTGAAAGCAGAAATTCACTGTAGAGACCCAAACCATTTTTGTACCAGGCTGTGAGCATGTTAAGATTATCTCTGGAGTAGTTAAAAGGGTAAGCAGCCTCAAGTGGCCACTAGATGAACTGCAGGTTTTTGGCACTTCCAGTTGGCTTCTTTTGTCAGCCCCTGTGGTTGCTGTTTCAGTATACCCCAGGAGCAGAAATGAGCTAAATACATTTATTAAAGTGCTGTATTAGCACAGTGTAATTTGAAGGGCTCTTTTATGTTAATTTATATCAGTTGCTGACAACCTCCAGTCATTGAGAATTTCCCGACATGTTGGTAAGTGGCTGCCTGAGCTTGCTGTAGTTGACCTGTAGTATACGACACTACAGGTCAACTACAGGGGACCGCAACAACCTGTTGGCGTTCAAAGCAATCACAAGAATGTTTCTGGTGTAGTACTACAACCTCTTTGCGAGCAATTTCATTAAAGCACAAGTAACGTGCACATTTTTCTCTAGCAAACTGTGATTGCCAGGCGATCACCCACTGGTCTCTAGGCCTGTGACGCTGAGGCCATAGGAGAAATGTTATAGATGGCGTGCTTTTTAGATCTTTTTCTAGACAGACATTGTGATGTGGCGCAGTAGGGAAGGAACAGGCAGAATTAATGATTTCCCCATAATATCCCAGCATGCCACAGCAGTGAACCAGTATGAAGAAAATGGAATGCAGCCATCATGAAGGCACTTGTGCTGTCCCTGCTGCGAGTCAAAATATCTGCTTTGAAAATGTTCAAAATATATTTCTTAGTGTTTTAATTTAATTTGTTAATCTTAATCCATTTTGCCTATTGGGCAGTTTTGATGATTTAAAATCATTTTTACAACAATATTTCTGAACTTTTTCTCTAAATGGCTTTTTCTTGTACTTCTATTTAGTAAAAAAGCTCAGTGTTTCTCTCACCACTAGTTTTTTTTTTAATAGACAGTGTTGTTAGAAAGCTTTTAGATTTCTTTGGCCTGCTATTTGTTTTTGTTTTTTTAACCGTAGCCGAGAGAAGTTAAACTAACTGCTCAGCTCTGTACATCGAGTTACTATTTGATGGGTCATCACGTGTGTCATCACAGGGAAGAAAGGGAAAGTCCTGTATTCACATGCAACCCCAAAGAGGATTTAAAATGTGCAAAGGAAAGATTGGAAATGATGCTGATAGTGTCTGACTATGACTTACAGTAACAGTGGGGCAGTAATGGAGCCCAAGTGGAGCAGCGCTGCATGCAAACTCAGCGCTCAAACGAGAGTATTAGTGTAGGTGTAGGGAAATGCTTGTAAAGTAGGGCAACTCTGTCGGGGAAAATAAAGATGGATGAGGAGCAAACTCATCAGCAGAAAGAAGCCATAAGAAATGCTGTCACACAGAAAGAGATGGGAGATTGAAAATATTAAAGCAAACTTAATAAACTGCTAAATAAGTAGGTGACAGTTCTCCGTCTTCCTCTGCTCCTCATGCTAAGAAAACTACACAAGCCTCATATTCAAATGAATACGAGCCGTGTTTACTCATGTTCTGCCTGTCTGACAGTTGAAGGGGAAATGTCAAAAGATGATCAGCGAGTATCAGATTCAATCTCAGCTACTACAAATGAGATGCAGACTGATATCTCTGACTCAGCTGCAGTCGCTGAGCTACCGTGTGTGATTTGTCAAAAGCGAAAAAAAATCTAACTTGTAGGTTTTAGAGTAGCCACAGATCCTCGTTCAAACGTTAATGACACGTGCTGATAGGATTAAAGAAGAGAGACCGTGAATGTTTTGCTTCAAAACACATCAACAAATGGATATACACAGAGCAAAAAACTGAACTGTTAGTTTCTCGAGGTATTTTACACCATTAATCATGTTCACATTAGTGTGGCTGGATCAGAAAAATGCAAAACTTCTGGCCTGCAAATGTCAGAGATGTGGGGTTAAGTGCAATGAGAAGTCCGATGGCTCACTCCTGTAGTTAAGCAATATTTTAACTGTAGGCCCATTAATGTTTGAATTGCAGGGTTTATGGCTTTCTGTCTGAACCTTAGCTTGGAGATAATTTGAGATGTCTAGTTAAATACTGACAGATGTATGAACACATATTTACCCTGCGACATTCAGATCAGTTTTTCTATTATTACATCTGTTTTTAACCCTTTTCCTGCCTGGACAAATCTTTTACATATTACATCCAGTGTTGCCGTTCCTGCACTGTGGAGACGGATGGAGAGAGGATGGAAAATAAGTATGTGTAAAAGATGAGCAAACAGCTTTTATTTTAATTAATCCTCAAATTGGCATATAGACCAGGAGGGGATGACTGTTATCGTCCAGGGCGTTATATTAGTGTTTTATTAATATGGTCTTCATTCTCTTTGGAAACCTTTTAAATGAAATATCGATGCACCTACAGTTATCCCTAAAAGTTTAAGCAAGCTGGCGGTCTTTTTTTGAAGTTTGTGCGCTTTGCCTTTTTAGCTGGAAGAAACACAACAAACGAGGAGCTGGAGAGCATGTTGGAAAGTGACAATCCAGCCATCTTCACCTCGGGGGTAAGTCTTACAAAAAACAAAAAAGCAAAACATAAAGAATGCAGCGGGGGCGCACCTGTCAGTCACTGCTTCCTTAATTTTGTACCTTCTTAGATAATTATGGACAACATCACCCAGCAAGCAATGAATGAGATCGAGACGCGGCACAATGAGATTATCAAGCTGGAAAACAGTATCAGGGAGCTTCACGACATGTTCATGGACATGGACATGCTGGTGGAAAGCCAGGTGAAAACACTGATCTCTCTCTCTCCCTTTCTGTTTCTACAGCTGTGTTGCTTGAGTCTCGGCCAAATGCATGCAAATGAAACAAACATGCAAATGCTCAATATGTTTATAACTGACAATCCATCTGCCAATTGATGCATAATGACTGGTTTCTACATGCAGAAAGGGCCATCTTGCCATTGCAGCGGTTCAGTAGCTCCCCGTGTTCATTAATAGTAAAATCATTAATCAGCTCAGCATGCTAGCATGCTGCTCCTGCCTATTAAAGCTCAAGGAACTACACGTCTTTCATTTTGCAGAACGGTTTTTAAGTGTATTAGTGTAATTGAGGGCTTGTCTATGCCAACACAGTTGGAAGGAGGTTATGTTTTCAGCTCCATCTGGGTGTCTGTTTGCAAACTATCTCAGTAAATTTAGACAGTTTTGGGGGAACAGATCATTTTTGGCTCAAAGATAAGTTGATTGGAGTTTGGTGATTATCTCCACGTGTGATTTCTGGCTTTGGACAGTTTTTTCTTTTTTTTTTCTTTTTTTTTTTATAAATAATTCTCCTGCTGCGATCATTAGCTGGAAAATAAATCTGACATCTACAACTTTCAAGTTGGCAACTTAACAGAGTCACATTTTGTTAAAGCTTTTAATTATAAATAAACCTTAAATATTTCAGGCTTTAGCTTCATGCATTTAGAGCTGTTCAGGATTAGTCTTTTTATTATGTTGCAAAATTTGAATGCTGCACATTAGCCTCATGGAGTGAACAGTTCCCTAATTTTCTGATACATATTCGGGTTTTCTTTAAGTGTTGAGTTGCCTTTTGTCTCCGTAGCAAAGTGTGGAACTTAAGGGCTGCTGCGTGTGTGTGTGTGTGTGTGTGTGTGTGTGTGTGTGTGTGCGCGGCTTAACCCCCACAGAGATGAACTATTTCCTTCATCAGAAATAATCGGCCTGAATTGTACAGAATGGATTCTGAGTTAGAGAACACTTGAAAATATGAAAAATAAGAAAATATGTGAAATATTGAAGTAAATCGTTACATGAAACTGATTTTGGTTACACTGATGGCACAATGCAATAACATTTAGCGGGAAAACGTCTAATAATTCAGTGGAAATGGGTGTTTGTATGTGTGTGCTCTAAACAGCTCAATTAACTAACCCTTTATGCTCTCAGTGCCACATGATTTAAGATTAAACTGGAGTGTGATTGTTAAATCTACCCTTCTCAGCTTTGCTCTCTCTGTCTCCCACTCTCTTGGTTTTCGCCTCTGTTTTCTTCTTCACTACACAACACTGCCCCCACTCCAATGACTCTAAGCTCTGGAGAACACAGAACGTTGTTCCCCTTCTAACACAGCAAGGTAATTTATCTCTAACTCGTGACTTTTCACCTGTGTGGACTTTGAATTGTCTTTGTTTTAGTGCATGCACAGAGAGCAGTCTGGGTCACTTTAGTAGCCATTTGATTTGTCAAGTGATTGTGGGTCAGTGCTAATGTGAAAAGTTATGATTTTCTATCTTGTTGATTAATGCTGTTTTAATCATGGTTTGTTACCAATACAATGGAAATGATAAGAGATATGATATCACAGTTATTTTGTGTTCTATGACATTCATGTAATGATAGCTTTCATTAGTCTAGTCAGGTTGCTTTGAAACATATTTATGAAATCTAAACATTGCTGGTACTACAGATTTCTTCTTACTATTACCTTAATGTGTCTCCATCTCTGATTCTTGTGCAGGGCAACCTCGTGAACAACATTGAGCACTGTGTTATGGAGGCCCAGGATTATGTGGAGCAGGGAAAGGACAACATCCCAAAATGCAAAAAGTTCAAAAAGACCAACAGACGGGTGACATAATTATTTCTTTTTCTCTTTTTTCTTCTCCTTCTTTCTTCTCTCTCCTACTCATTTATCTGTTATTCCTCCCCTGTCACTTGCCTCCATCTGTATCCGCTCCTCCTCCTCCTGCCTACATATCTGGCTTCCTCTTTATTCTTCTTGTCTGCATGTCCTCCACACCTCCTCTGTAACTAACTTCTTCTAGGGGGAAATGATAGACCGCATTGAGTACAATGTGGAGCACTCGGTAGACTATGTGGAGAGGGCGGTATCAGACACTAAGAAGGCTGTTAAATACCAGAGTAAAGCCCGGAGGGTGAGTTGCTTAAACGGAAAAACGTGCTGTCATGTGGAACGGTGGTAGTTAAAGTCGGAATCGGTGCATGTGTATAGTGGAGTGGTTGCTGTGCATGCTCACCTGTCATGTATCTGTGTATGGACTGTGGTTATTGTGAGTGTATTTAAGTCTACAGCAATGACTTTCAGCCTCAGTAACTTTAGCATATACACTCACCGGACACTTTATTAGGTGCACTTTGCTAGTACTGAGCTGGAGCATCTTTTGACTTTAGAACTGCCTTAATTCTTCAGTTCTTCCTTTTATTGATTCAACACAGTTCTAAGAACATTCCTCAGAGATTTTAGTCCACAGCTGCTGCAGATTTGTCAGTTACACATCCATGATGCTGCAAAAATTAAAACCCAAAAATGCTCTATTAGATTGAGATCTGGTGAGTGTGGAGGACATTTGAGAACAGCCATGTTCAAAAAAACAGGTAGGGATGATTTACGACATGGCATATAGCCCTGGAAAGGAAAGGAAAGTATATGGTCAACAGCAAGACTCAGATGGGCTGCAAAGTTTAAATCGTGACCATTTGATACTACGGTGTGCCAAGAAAATATCCTCCACACAATTATACCACCAGCCTAAACGGTTGATGTTCTGCTGCTGTAGCACATCATGTCGTGCCTCCAGAGATGCTCCTCTGCATACTTTAGTTGTAACAGTTGGTTATTTGAGTTACTGCTGCTCCCCTATCACGACCTTTAGCAGGTCATCTTGACCATGTCTAGATGACCTAAATGCCTAAAGGAATTTAGTTGCTGCCATATGATTGGCTAATTAGATATTTGAATAGGTGTACATAACAAACTGGCCGGTGAGTGCCTATAAGAATCTGACCTAAGAACAATTCAATTTGGTAAGAAAAATGATCTTCATATTTGTATTTAAGAGGAAATGGAATAAAAACACCCTGTATGTATTTTTAATTCAACCTTTACAACCAGAGTCACTTTTAACACATGAACACTACATTCTGGTGGAGAGGCATGACAAGGAGCCACAACAGATAATAGTGATTTTACATGTTTAGTGCATATAAAGAAAATGCACAAACTGTCATCTTTGAATAGTTGTTTGCTAGTAAAGCCAGATGTATCATCTTACATCATGAACTCTGGAGGTTCACTATCTTTGGACAGGATTATGTGAAGCTGATTGTTCCCATAGTATATAAACATTTGACAAATGCTTTTGAAAGGAATCATGGCAGTCTTCCTTCCTTTAAACAATCTGCAACACAATGGAGCAATTCTGCCACCTCTTGGTCAACGTCTAACCAGGTGCTCAACATTAGATAAATTGCACACATCCAATGACTCAGTGCAAGGGTCATCTACATGGTTATTTCCCCATTTATAATTAAAGACTGCAAACTTTCTTTCTTCTTTCTTTCTTTCTTTCTTTTTCTCTCTTTTTTTTTTCTTTTTCTTTCTTTCTTTTCTTTCTTTCTTTCATTCTTTCTTACTTTCTTTCTTTCTGTCTCTCTCATGTTCCTCTCAATCCCCTGACTCATTATCTAACGCTGTGCTCTCCTTGTTCTCCCTCCCCATGGTCCCCCATCCAGAAGGTGATCCTGATAGGAGTTTGTGTTGCGATTTGTATCACCATCCTCATTATTTCGCTCGCAGTGGGACTCAGTTAGGAGCTAAAAAAATCATCACATGGCAGACAGGACAGTCATTATGAGTGACATGAATGCCAAAAAAAACACACACAACTGTTCATGTGTTAAATGTACTGTATGGTGGCCTCTGCAATGTGTGCAGTGAGCACTGCTTGTGAACTGGGAAGCAAGTCATTGCATTACTGGTCTGAGGTCTGTGCAGCAAGCTATGAACACTCAAATATAATCTGCATCAACTTTTATTCTTAATGTGTGCTTCAGCTCCAGGAACGGTTTGTGCTTGGCCTGTTTGAGTTGCAAAGCTTTGTCATGTGCATGTTTCTCTCTGTTGTCCCACAAACACAAATTGAAGATGATTGCATTATTACTAAAATGGTCATCAAAATAAGCTCACTACCAATTAGTTTTTAACAATGATGTATTACTAAAGGTAAAACAAAATAGTTAAACATTTTTGGGAAATCCACTTTTGAGTTAGGTTGGTCAAAATATGTGCCTTAGAGATTTTATTGTTTCGCAGCCATAGTGACTTTATGGAGG